ATGGGAGCACATTTGCTACAACCTCTGCTTACTTTGGGCTAAATGTTTTGTTTTTTTTGTTTTTTTTCAGGTGCATAGCCAAATTTTTTTTTCTCAGAAAGCAAAGCCACTGGAACTGCATGTATTACAAAAACATACCGGTTACGGCTACTATTCACTGCGTGTCCGACAATTGTATAAAGTTTCGCAGGTCCTCTGTTTTTTACTTTGAGAAGTTCTGTCAACCAAAGCATAAATATGTGTTTCTCTGTACATAAAATTTCACACGATTTGTTAATATTAATGTATGATAATAAAAACTTGATAATATTTTTCTGGATTTTTGCACTTTATTTGTATCATTGTCGTATGAGAAGTAATCTTGTCCTTTTTAGAGATATTGAAACTAATCCAGGGCCACAAACTAGTTTATCCAAACAGACACAACACTGACATATTTGCAGATCTGATTTGTATACTTCCTTGTCATTTTACCTGTTGTACTGGTTTGGTGCTATCAGGTTTCCTTGCTGAGAATAATGCTGACTTGGATGGAGAGTGCTATAAACTTGAAAATGCCATAGAAATCACGTTTGCCAATTTATGTTCATGCAACTTTAGAATGACAACTAGCGAAGGCAGTGTCATTCATGACTTGTTATTTGTATTTTTGTTATATCATATTTTATCCATTCTTTCTCGTTTATCTGTTATATTGACAGGAAGAATATTTTAAAACCGTTTGAAGACCAGACTTCTTTGGTGAGTCTACCACACTGTTCACTCAAACTAATTTGCCATCAATTTACATATTTGCAATGAGGAAGCAGCTAATTATGATTCATATCTTTATTTCAGGAATTTTTTTCTGAGAAGAATGACACTTCGTTGTTTATGTACGGATCTCATTCCAAGAAAAGACCACACAATATCATAATTGGTAATTTGTTTGATTATATTTCATGTTAATCATACTTAATCATAATCATGGGATCATATCATTACTGATCTGGATACCAGAAATGAGAAAACAAAAGTCCAAAATGTTATGGAAAATTGTTAAAAATAGCATTTTTACACTGATTTCTATGGCGAGATTACATATTATTTCTTCACAACTATGAATTTTGCAAATTGACATAAAATTAAAAAAAGTCATTTGTTATTATTGATATTAATCTAGTGAGTTTAGTGAGTTTCCAAGGTGATAATAGTTTTTCGTGATATACAATGGGATGTTTCCTCCAATAATGCATTGCACATGTGTGCATTATCATGCTCAGTATTGCAACGTACCTATTGGTAGTAGGTCTTTGTACTGCACATGTTTGAATTTCATGTAAAAACCAAGGTATTTTTTGACTTACATATATGTCATCATGTTTTGATGATGAATATCACATCATTTAAAAGAACACTTCAAAATGTCTCACTCAGTTCATAATAAATCGGATTTATTTTTGGGGGTGACAAAATGGGGGGGGGGGGGTACGTACACTTTTGCTCGAATAAGAACTGTCAGCAATACATCCTGCTTTCTGCTACATTCAGAGAGTGAACAGCCATTCTGTGAGTAAATGCCAATGGCGACATTTTGGCAACAGTTTGAAAACTGCTTTATCTGTGTGACAATGTGAAATTGCCTAAACCCACATAACCAATGAAATGACCTATCACTATAAGAATCTGAATGTGGTGTGATACTGTTTTCACATTTGTTGATGATACCGGTAATTACTGGGCTGTCATCACTTCATTGTCATTACTGCCTTCTCTGATTTATAGGTAGAACATTCAGTTACCATGTGTTAGATATGATAGAATTGGGAGTAGAAAATTTCAAAAGCTTGTCTGATTTCAAAGTAAGTCACCACTTTCACTTAATAATTGTCAAGGATATATCAATGCTATATCTTTGACATCACTTGATTTAATCTTGTATAATTCTATGTAATTTTCCTGCTCGTCATCTTATTCTCATTAGTTCATACGATCAGTAATGTTCTCATCAGACATAAAACAGTCACCTCATAATTTGCCAGTACATTTTTGTTCCAGGTTTTTCACTGTGATGTCACAAAGCGTCTCACAAAGAAGTAAAAAAAACATACGAGTGACAAATTATGAAAAAAAAGTAACAATATTTTGGCCTTGTATGTGCTTCTATTCGAAATGTGCTTCTAAAAAAAAGCAAATATGGTATTCAGACTTCTTAAAAGAAACTAATTTTCTTTTTATAATATTTTTGTGAGGTACCGGGTAGTAGCTAAAACAGGTCTTGAATTCCCAAGTAGTTGGTCCTGTCAAGTCTATGAATGTGTTGTAGGTTTAAAATTCAGTGACCTAAGATCAGTACGATTCTTAAATCAGAAATATCTTTCACTATTCAGTGAATTTTTTATGGTTTTAAAGTTTTTTGCATATTGCCCTCTAGTGTTCATATATAGTAAAATTTGTTGATCGGCATTTGATTTGTGTACTCTATTACTATTTGCATATTTAAATTTTCAAGTGTTGAAATGTGTGTGCTGTTATTTTGTAATTTTCATTGTATATTATCGATTCTATATTTCCAGAATGCTAAATATTCCTCTGGCAGTAAACCGTGTCTGGTGTTTTCTGGTGAACCATTTGAGCAGGATACTGAACACAAAAGATTAAAGAGTCTACTCGTTGGTGAGTTGATGGGTCCGAGCTTCCCGTATTTAGTATTGTGAGATCCATACTAGGTTGTGCATTATTCAGCAGAACTGATGATGTGTAATCATTTTAATCTGTCGCCCACAAGTTCATTAATTGGTCAGGCTGCTAGAATATCACATGACCAAATTTAGGATTTTATCAGATATAAAGCTCTTAATAAATGGATAATATATATTGTCTGTTCAATCCTGAATTCAGTGTTTTTGCCATGTTTTTGAATATACTTCAGAAAACATAGTTATTTTAACCTAATCAATTCTTTATTGACCCAGTTGATTTTGCGCTCGATGATAGTTTCCTGTGCAGGATTATCCTTTTCACCACCAGTTCCTCTTTTCATAAAAAATTCACAAAGTAGTCCCCTTTATAGTCCTTCAGAAGATTGGGGCAAAAATAGTCAATTTTTTAAAGTAAAAACTGAACATTTTACCTGTTAGCTCCAAAATTAGGGTTCATTTCCAGAAATATTGAAGAATATAAAAAAAAAGTGCAGAAAAATTTGGGCGAGTTAGGTGGTGAAAAGGTTGAGCTATGTCATCGAATCTCTGTCATTTGTGACAAGAATAGGCTGTGCAATAAGATAAGATACATTTTACTTTCAGATTTTTTTCGAGGCCCTGTAGTTACCAACGTGCGTTTGGCTGGTCTGGAGCATGCATTACATTTTGTTGCAATTGATGGCAAGATTTATCTTAGAAGTTACAGGTAAAGTAAAGTTGTTTTTATGACCATTTTTAACCAGATTATTTAATAAAATCAAGTTATACACTAGGTATTGTTCCCCATAGCATTTGGATAAAATATGCAAGATAGTTTATAATATATTTGCATAACTTTAGTATGACATTTGCATAACACTGCTGGAAAAAATTCAAGACTCCTTAACTTTGGGTAAAAATAACCCCTCAGATCATGGTAAAAAACAATAGTGCAAAAATAAACCCCATATAATTTTGTTCATATTTATTTCCAAGATTTTTATTGAAACCAGTAGCCAAAATGAAATTATGTCAATTTGGTCAAAAATTATTCAAATAAATTATAGAAAAAACATAAATATAGGCAAAATTTTGCATCAATATTATGGCACTGTTCTCCCCAAGCACAACAATTAACATAATAAAATTTATCAACTTGTTTTATTGTTATGCAAACTAGCTACAATGTTTTGTTACTTCTCTGGGAAAAATTTTGAATAGTTAAAAAGTATGATCAATTGAAGTTTGTTTGTTTTTTGTATCCAACTTTTTAAGAATTCCTTTGTATCTATGAATTAATAATAAAAGAAAAATATTATTTATAACTAACTAACAGAGTATTTATTTTATTTGCTATGTGTAGAATCATATTAAAAAAGTCTGGAAGTCGAACGCCACGTGTCGAGCTCGAGGAAATAGGACCTTCTTTGGATCTGGTTATGCGACGAACTCGCCTAGCAGCAGACGACTTGTTTAAAAAATCAATGAAACAGCCAAAGGAAGCAAAGGTATGATCATAATAGTTTATCAAAGATGTAACAATTTATTGACAATACATAATATAGATATATATATATCAATGGATAGTATATCACACGGAAATGCAATTAATCTTTACTTACCGATACTTATTTCGAAAAATATCCAGGTTGATTTTTCTAAGACAAAACAAGCAGTACTAACAAGTCAAATGCTGGGTTCCATCTTGCATGCTCTACTTTCAATTTTTGGGGGGCAGGCAAGAATCTGAGTTGATAAACCTAGAGACATCAGTGTCTTTGGCAGTCCTGTCCCTTTGAGGATTATTTGATTTTTGATAATTATGATTTGGTTATAGATACGAAAGGTGAAGAATGTTAGTCGAGATGTGTTTGGAACAAAGCATGGAAGAATACATATGCAGAAGCAAGACTTGAATACGTTACAGCTAAGAAAGTTGAAAGGATTGAAAAGAAAAACAGCTGAGACAGAAAATAATGATAACTCGAAAAAGGCAAAAAGTGACTGAGATTGTTGTTCAATAAAATACTACAATAAATTATTTGTTCATATTTTGATGTATTGTTTGCTCCACTGCCCCACAATATTTTGTCAGATTTGGAACTGTATTTAAACTTTGCATGACTGAGCATGCATGCAATGCATATATTGTCCTGGAAACTGGAAAATATTTTTGTTTACGATGGCAATATCAAGAAACTGTTATCTAGTTAAATATGTACGATGTTTTCCCTAAATCATTTCATTATATTGGCTAAAACATGCATCACTTTTTACCTGGATGTAAGGAAACGTAATATTGGCGAAACATAAGCATTTATTCATCTTTATATGTATTTATACAGTTCAAATGCAGTTGAATCAAATCAGCCGCGCGCAGTCCACAACGACGCTTACACAGCGATGTTATTTGAAAACGTTCCCATGTTATTCAATCGGCCAATAGAAACCTCTAGTAACAGTTTGAATTGTTAAATTTCCATGTCCATTTATGTTATTTGTGATAACCATAATCCATATTCAGAATAGAAATTTCACAGTCGCTTACACCCATTTAGTTGCATTTACATCTGTTCTTCCCATGTATAGTGTGTATTTTACCGAACAAATACTTCTCCCCATACTTTTGATATAGAGCGTTTGGTTTAAAGGGCGGCGGTCGTATAGCGCGTGTTCGAATTTCGTATAAATAAACAACGCATTTTACACGCGCTAGTGCTTGCCATGAGCCTCATGCTAAAGCGCGACGACCACCGCCCTTTAATTGATTAGATGTAGTGACAAATATTTTCCGAAAGTACATTACTTAACTTTCCGTCTTCGGTGATTTTAGTTTCTCTGCATCACTGATATTGAGATCTCAGATATTTCTTAGCTGTAATGTATGTAGCGGGCAACTTGTACATTTTACGTTGTTTGTAATCGTAATGGTTCGACCCGCCTTGGCGGAGCGCGATCACGTAATCGAACGCTTATATTCGCCACAGCTTTCCTAGGCGAATAGGTAGCCCTGGTGGAGCGGGGATGCTTGTGCACGCACCTGCCAGATAATATCAAGCGCCTCACAGGGGGCTTATAGATACTAGTAGTATACTTGTCGTACAAGTGTTATCCTTATTGTTTGATGGATGTATGTATGTACTAATACCACTGTAAATCTAGGTTCGTTCATAGCAACACTCATTTAATCGTGTATGCCGGTAGTGTAGAATTAAAATAAAAAAAAAAATGTACACATAATGAGTATTCAAATACCGATCATGTTTCTTCGTAGTGGGAGATCAAAGTGACCGCGATAGTACTGCATGTTCAATGTATGATAATTGATGGTAGTTTCCGACTTGGTCAATACCAGCAATTTGCGTCGTACAAAATGTATAACAGTAACAATACACTATTTTCATGCAGTGGTTCTGGTGCCCGTGTTCGGCAGCCACTCATTTGAAGTGCACACTAACTAATGAGCCAAATAAATGCAATATTTTAAGGATTTCAATATTTACTATCTATAGTATATACTATTAGTTCAGTGATGGGATAAGTATTAGAAGAAATTTTTAGTGAATATTGCACGACTCTGTGAACGAGGCTGGAGACTGACGTGTATGAATTACATTGACTGAACTATCACGTGATACCGAAATTGGAAGTAGTCTTTTGTGAATTTAAACATTCGTCACCATGGCATCCACCCTGTACTCCCAAGTAGCTAGCTAAATGTTAGTCATAGTACTTTTATCTGGTGCATTGAGCTGATTCCGTTACCACCCCCAATGGTCTCATCAGCTAACACACACAACACACAAATTACGTGATAGGTTGGTCACCCGAATCGTGACGTACATATGCTGAAAACAATAGAAAATCTACACAAAACATCAGAGCTGTGTTCGATGTGAGACCCATGCGACGTATGTAACACATGTAAACTACATTTTGTATTTACACGAGATTCGTGTGGTCGGGGGATATACGTAAATGAATGGGACTGTCCATACGAGTATATTTGTTGTCTGAGGTTAAATCTTTACTCGCTATTGAAACTTTGAAGAAATGATTGGATTTCTTGACGTTTACCAGATGATTTTATTTTCATGCTGTTATTCCAAAAACCAAACTATTTTCACATGAAGCTCATGGAAATAGTTGTTAGACCATTAATATTGTAAAATTTCCTCACCGTATTTCAAAACTTCATCTGATTACTTATGATGAAACAATCGGATGTAATTATATTAAAGTTAGGTATTTATGGTTGGCTTTAACGTGGCCTCTCTTATGAAATGTACCAAACATGTCCATTTTTGCAACTTTGTAATCAATAATTGTAACTCTCGAAACAGAAAATCGTAT